TGGTCTTCCAGCACCCCCAGGACACCATGGTCCTCCAGTGCCCCCAGCACACCAGGGTCCTCCACCACCACCAGGACAGTCTGGTCCTCCAGCACCCCCAGCACACCATGGTCCTCCAGCACCCCCAGCACACCATGGTCCTCCAGCACCCCCAGCACACCATGGTCCTCCAGCACCCCCAGCACACCATGGTCCTCCAGCACCCCCAGCACACCATGGTCCTCCAGCACCCCCAGCACACCATGGTCCTCCAGCACCCCCAGCACACCATGGTCCTCCAGCACCCCCAGCACACCATGGTCCTCCAGCACCCCCAGCACACCATGGTCCTCCAGCACCCCCAGCACACCATGGTCCTCCAGCACCCCCAGCACACCATGGTCCTCCAGCACCCCCAGCACACCATGGTCCTCCAGCACCCCCAGCACACCATGGTCCTCCAGCACCCCCAGCACACCATGGTCCTCCAGCGCCCCCAGCACACCATGGTCATCCAGCACCACCAGGACACCAGGGTCCTCCAGCAGCACTGGGACACCATGGTTCCCTGGCACCATAGCCCTGAGAGAGCCCCTTACTCGCTGGTTGCTTCTATCCTGAAGATTCTCCTCATCTTCCTCCTCCTCCTCTTCCTCCTCCTCGGGGTCCGGAAGGGAGGTGACACTCCGGGGCTCATGCCATGGCTCCGGCAGCTTCTTGCCCTTCACCAGGACCTTCCCCTTCAGCTGCTGTGGGAGGATGGGGCAAGCTCAGGGCTCAGAGGACACATGGGGACACTGTGGTGGGCGGGCACGTGGCCTTACCTCTGGGGACGGGAGCTCATGAGGGTCCTGCCCCTCCAGCGGCTGGGTCAGCAGCATGTCCCCCAGGATGGCCTTCATGTGGTGGGCCATGGTGGCCTGCTGCTCCAGCCCACAGTGGTTCTCCAGGGACAGGATGACGGGGTAGGGCGATTGCTGGGGACGGGACGGGCAGTGCTCAGCACCCGTCCCCCAGCACCTGTCCCAGGGCTGCCGGCGCCCGGCTGACCTTGAAGGCGTAGTCACGGATGCTCTCGATGACATCGCGGAAGAGGATTTTGGAGGTGAGCGTGTGGCCGTGGTAGACGATGGGTTCCCCGTCAGAGCCCTCCCAGCAGTCCAGCTCCACACAACGGCATCCTGCCATCAGTGCCCTGCCACCGCATTGCCACCAGGTGAGTCCCCGCCCCACCGTGACACCCCCAAACCACCAGACTGACCAACCATGGAGCATCCGACCATGGGGCACCCACCTGACATAGGCTTCGGTGCTGCTGGTGCCCCCGACCTGGTTGCGGGTCAGGTAGGTGTTGTGGGAGGAGGAGATGAAGTAGTGGCAGAGGGGCTGGCTCATGTCCTGGTGCACTTTGGTGTGCTCCTGGTTGAGGATGTCACCGGCGGCAGAGAGGAGGTACATCATGAAGCCATCCAGCATCATCAGGTCCTGCTGCCTGGCTGCGGGACACGGCGGCGGGGTGTCACAGAGGGCTGGCATGCTGCTGGTAGGGTGGCACCCCGAGGACTGTCCGTGCCTGATGTCCCCTGTCTCCCAGCAGTACCACGTTCACCCCAGATGTGGCCCTGTGGCACCCAGGGGATGTGGAGGTCCCTTCGGTGTCCCACCTCCACCCTGATGTCCCCCATCCTACTCGTGCCACGTCCACGCTGGGCTTGCTACTGTGACACCCAAGGGACATGGAGGTCCTTCATCTCCACCATGATGTCCCTTGTCCTCCTAGTGCCGTGTTCCCCCTGGACCTGCCGCTGTGGGACCCAAGGGACATGGAGGGCCCCTGGCATTGTCGCTGACACTGCATCACCCAGGAGACATGGATGTCCATTCGCTGTCCATCCCCACCCTCATGTCCCCTGTCCCCACAGTGCCACATCCACCAGGGACCAGCAAAGCCACAGGTTGGACTACTGACACCTGGTGCCACCCCAGGGAAGGGACATGGGGACACTCACCCAAGCCTTGGAGGACCCCATATCAGC